GCCATCAACAAATGATGGCGATGTGATCCATCTGAGTCGAGATTTGATTGGCAGAAGGAAACGCCAGGTAGGGCCACGGTAATGTCTGTGTCGGTAAATAGTGCTGGCTAGAAATTGACTGTAATCTGCTTAAAGCTGCAGAAGACTGTCTTCATTATCTGACCTGTGACCGTGTAAACCCCATTGACCACCTAGACGACTCTCCTCTGAGCCTAGACGCCCAACCTGTGTATTCATGCCCTAAGGCACCTGCTTCGGGAGATCACTCATTTGGTAGGAAAAACTCATTCTTAATTGCGCCCTGCCTGTGATCAGTCGGTGCAGAGGCAGAGATGACAAACATACATCGCTGCTCTCATTGGTCACTTCTTACTCCCGTATAACCTTCTAGCCATACAGCACAGAAATGACTGTTAGTGGAAATCCAACTAGCCAAGTATTTGTCCTCACACCTGCTCTATCTCGTTAATGATTGTCAGAAGCTGGAATTCATGGAGAGGCCATTGACTCGAGTCCCAGTGGCTTATTTTTCTACGAATTCGCATTGTGACCGGAAAGTCCTGGTTCCAAACCCTGGCAGTGGGTGGATGAGTACTGATGAAGAGTCCCAGACTAGGACGAAACAGCAGCATAGTACTCTAGTACTGGTTTCCAAATGTCCTCTAACCGATGTCAACTCATGATGAAAACCCATAACTTGTTTGGTTTTTACGTAATCCTATCGAGCCATCCTATTCTTCTTCTTAATCATTATTTTTTTATGAATTTGTCGATTATATAATAACTCGTTGCTTACCTCCTACGAATTCTTTTATCCCGAATTCCGTAATAATATATTTTCATCTCCCGATTCCTTTAAGACTAAAATACACTAGTTATTCGTTTAGATGACTTTTACCATCTTAATTTCAACCCACCCACTCCACGTATACCTAAGACTGGTGAATGAAAATTACGGTATGATTGGTTAACGTTTGATATACTAGTGTACAGTAATGATGAGGAACTTAATTGGAAAGGAATACACATTTCTTCGCTCAATTTATTGTTTCTTTCTAAACGCACATTGAACGACATTATCTGCAAATTATGAAATCAATGTACGATGTGTATTGGTCATTGTATTTTGTCATAATAAACATTATTTCCGCCCTCTGACCAGCATTGTTCATTTTCAGTACTTTACTAATGAAAACAGTAGTACAAATACGCCCTAGTGATTGGCACCATTGAAATTATTGTAGGAATGAACAGTACTCAGTACAAAGAAAAAAAATACGCATTTTTTAAATCTTTGGTAGGATCAAACCAAAAATTCAGAGACGTTACGTAGACGACACATTTGTAATGATCAAAAGAAACGAATTAGATAAAACTCACAACTTAATAAACGACGTCTTCAACGACATCAAATTCACAAGAGAAGAGGAATTCGAGAACAAAATCCCATTTTTGGATGTCTTAATCAAGCGAACAACCACAGGAGAATTAGAAACTCAAGTCTATAGAAAATCAACTCACACAGACCAAATCCTGAATTACAACAGCAACAATCCAGTAGCACACAAGAGGAATTGCATACAAACACTATTCGAGAGGGCCAGAACTCATTGCAGCACTCCCACCTTAAGGAAAAACTGAAGAAAGATATCTCATGGACGTCTTTCCAATAGAATGGGTATCCACGGAATTTCATCAAAAGACATATACCCCCAAGCCAACCTATCAAACCAAAAATCCCAAAGGAAAGCACAAAGAAAATCGCTCTACCATATATAAAGGATATCTCAGAAATCACTGCAAGACTCTTCAAACCTTTAGGAATTGAGGTCTCACACAAACTAACAAAATCACTTCATTCAGTTCTATGTCAACCAAAAGACTCAACGACGAAAGAAGATGAAACCAACATCATCTATAAAATAAACTGTGACAACTGCGAATAACACTACATTGGACAAAGTGGACTCCCCTCCTCTTCGTCTTCGTTTCCATGGACATAAGCTAGCCATCAATAGACATGACATCCACTCCCTCACGCATATCAATTCGAATGGGACAACGTTCAAATATTAGACAGAGGAAACAACAAGAATGCTAGAGAATTTTTAGAAGGCTGCCTCGTATTTCACTGAATAATCAATCAATAGACACATCGAGATAGACAAAATTTATCAACCGATAAGAAAGAAACCTCGCACAAAAAGGGCCAAAGTTCAAGTAAAAAAAACAATCAGTCTCAATAACATTGCCTAGAGGGTGTATAAACACACAAAAACAACCAATCACGTTCACGGTTTCCACCAGAGGAGACGACTAATAAACTCGTGAAGAAATCTAAAAGCTCACTTCAATTTAAATTGAAGTATGCGCTGAAGATGTTTCCTAGTGGTGGGCAATGAAAGCTTCGCAAATTAACTATCCAGCTCAGAGAACACAACCATACCAAACTCATCCTCCTGAGCTACGAATCTTCTTCATCATATCTAAGTCTTACGATACGAATTTACAACACGAATGTCAAGTCAGTCAGTCAGTGATTCCGTATGGTTTAGAGCCTAGAAAAAAATACTTCATCATTAGTATTCCCAAGAGACTTCAGAATTTCATCCACAACTGCATTCACTCACTAGCTCGATACTGATGATCAGATGTCCGGCTAGAAAGGTCAGCCAACAAGGATCTCCTGCAAAGAACCAACCGACTAACCACCAGCCAAGAACCTACCGCTGAATAAATATCTAGCAAGAAGTGATTATGGAAAGGACCCGTGTCGAGAAGACCGTTGAATGACTTCACACACCAGGAACACCTTCGAGTGGGGCTCGAATGGGAAGAGATGCAGAGGAAAGGCAATAAGGAGAAATGTGATAGAGAAAGAATAGTAACATGGGAAATCACTAAGATTTATTGGATTTCACAAATCGCAAACAGTCAATACCTCACCGCCACTGAGAACGATTTTAAGCCAGACTACCAATTTCCTTCAGCCTACAGTGGTTCTTGCGGCGCGAGAACCTCAACCAGGAATTCTACACATTCCCACATGGCTGGCTCAAACTAAATGTTGAAGATTTCACTGAAAGATACAATGTATTTTTTTATTTTTGATTACAGCTTGGTCTACCAACCACTAGCTCTTTCCCAACCTCATCCTATGTCAGCTAACATTTCCCGTTAGGGAATACGATGGCTAGGCGAGAATATCCTAGCCAACTTAATCGATATTGCTTCACAACCTAATCAATCGACTGACTTCCCCTCCTTACCTAACACTCGACCGAAGACTAACCTCAATACTACTCAACCCAATACACCACAACTTATATGAAAGATAGAATGGAGATACATATGATAAAGAAAGCTAGCCATTTTTTCATCCCTTCCACATCCAATAGCCACAAAGAAAATCGACGAGAACTTCTGAGCACTGCACACGTCCTTTGATCGATAGCCAGTCGGATATCACGTCTATGCCAGAGAAAACGCAGGCTTGTGAATTTCCCACACGAGCCTCCTCTATCCGTTCGTGCTGAGATTTCATCAGCAGACAGGCTATCAGGGTTGATGCAACTCTACAAATACATAAAGTGATGGTCAACACGCTCCACCAACCACTTCATTGTCTATCGCCAAGCTAGGAGTCGGTGCAGGCGTCCACTCCTGTAGGATATTCTTACTTACATTTCACAGAAGCGATTCGCATACGAAACATTTAAAGACTTCTGTCCAAGCTGTCCAGAAGAAGGCTCTGCACTTTATCAGTGTCGTCACCTAGGAGAGAGAACTATATCATACGCAGATATTCTAAGTCAACAAGACAGTCTCCTGGTAATAAGTTAATCCCGTCTTGAAGTCGAGACATACATAGGTGGAACCCAGATGAGCTGCTGAAGCTCTATGTTCCACTAGGAACACAAAGGAAGAAGAACAATAATATTAACTATATAAACAACCTTTTGGGGCAAACCCCGGGTGGAGTGGGGCTTTCTACTGATTCGAACCCCTACAACACATCTCCACTTTCTTTTATTTTCGACTGTCTACTTCATCTGAGCCTACGATTGCCCATAATCTCTGATCTCTCCCATGTCACACACTCGCACCGACAACCCACTCATCGTTCATCAATCGGCTTCCACTCGAGCGATGTCATTCGACGGTCTCCAGCAAACAATACGTTTGTTTTTTATATATATATTTTGTATTTTCAAAATATTTATTGTACATTGAAGTTTCCGTTGCGGTTTGATTGATTTTGTGGTGTAGGATCCCACGCCCAACCACCGTCCCTCTTTATCCAGGCTCAGGAGTGGCTAGAAAACCAGCAAGGTAGTAAACTTGTCAGGAAAATAATACATTATTGGTGTCGCGCTAAATCATGAATTGGTAGAAGTTGGTAGAATTCATGGGCTGGCCATTGAATCGGGTCCCAATGGCTGAATGGTATACCAGTCAGCTAGCTTGCCTTGTAACCGGAAGGTCCTGGGTTCGAACCTGCTGTGGCGGGTGCATACTTCCGATGATTCCCAAACTAGTGGGATGAAACAGCTGGCTGACCAGTACTCCCCTCAGTGCTGGTTTTCAATGGTTCTCCAACTGATATCAATCTGTGATCAACTCGTAAAAACAAAACTAACCCTTAAAACAAACCAAACTATAGAAAACATTATGATTAAGAAAAATTGTATTTAAACAAGAAATCATAAAATCAGTGTACAGGAGATCCACAAAAAGAAAACAAACGGGGAAATTAAAACTATGCGCGAATGGTTAGACATTACATTATAAGGGGATAGGGAACAAAAGGCAATCTGTACAAATGGTATATATGTTCCTGGCATCATTATCGGCATCATCACCATCACCATCGTGAGACAGTTACAACATTCACTTATAGATGGATAGATGAATGAAGAGTCAAGTCTTTTGATGTGTGTTTTCCTCTCTGTTCATCTAACAGCCTCATACACTGACACAGGTTTTAAGCACACGCTAACCTTGTTATTATTATTATTATTATTACAGATTCGATTAACTCCAATCTGATAGATACTTTTATCCTTTAGCTGAACAATTAGCTAGTGGGGGGGGGGGAACAACACACAAAAATAAAATTTAATTAAGGAAACACATCGTGATAGAGATTGTGTATTATTCATATACCCACTGATTAAATAAATCAACACTTTAAAAAAACTCTTGGCTAGAAAATAGTATTATTATTATTATTGTTTCGCTTAGTTCCCTAGGGGAACATAAGGGCTTCAGCCGCACGTCTCCATTGCGTTCGCTTCTCTGCCAACGTTTTCATCACCTGGCTTCACGGTGAATGACAGAAAGAGACTGTTTAATGAAAGTAGTATCCCAATGTTATGTGACGTCACCATTTTTTATATTTCGAAATAACATTGAGATAGAAATAGAATGAGGACACACCAAGTCGGATGCAGCCGCGGGGATCACGAATACCGCTTGTTGACTACGCCAACAACATTATTTGACAGCTAACATGTTTTGCGGATGACAAATGTCACAAAAACTCGAAAATTTCCAGGGCTGAAGAAGCAGACAGACAGGACAGGACTTCAAATAAACACAGAGAACAAGACTCACAAGCGAACAAGATTGTTTTTAATTAGATTTTCTTCAGGCTTTACTCTAATTGACATAGATATATGCATACAAATTTTATGCAATGACGGTATATCTATAAAATTTAACTGCTCCCACAGAGAAAGTTATATAGGGAGAACAACTGGACAGCTCAATTAACGCATCACTGAGCAGCTTCCTACATGGTTCCGAAAACGTCAAGTAAAATCCATGAATAGTTCTATTTCGTCTCATTTCATTGATGATAGCCGTTACCAAGTGGGCAGAAGAAGAAGTGCCTTCAAAGTTACCTATAAAGCATTCCATCGAAGTTGAACCTGCGTTTTACACATAGACGAAGCTGTGGAAATTCGAGACAACAATCCTAGTCTTCGAATACAAAAGAAGTTTGTTTTACCTTTGTCTCTCCCTTGGACTAGGTAAATTCAAATTACAATAAACCTCCCACCCTTCCTTATTTTCTATCTCCTTCGTACTATTATGATATTTATTTAAACTCTGACCTACCTTTAGTATTACGTAACTTTTAAGATTTGACATAATTATTTATTTATTTATTAATTGTCTACATATACACATATCACTCACTACCTTTGTTATTCTTGTCGTCACCCGCACAAACCTTACTATCATTATTTTTGTTATCATTATAATCATCGTTATTACTGATGTTCAAAACACCTAACACATTATTATTATTATTATTAATCGGTCCACATACTCACCGTCATTGGTTAAATTTTTTATATTCAAAGAGCTATGTAAAATAGAGCAAAGCCTGAAGAAGAAGATCTAATTGAAAACAACAATACTGTCCGCTTATATGTCTTGTTCTAATATTAGTAAAGGGAATATTTAAACATGGAGAAGACTGTGGAGGTGATGAATACAACCAACAAACAGCTACAGCAAACAGCACGAATCACTATCAACGGAAGAAGCATCCCTTCACCTACAGGCGACACCACGGATGACGATGTCAAAACGGGAATTGGAAAGGCAAGACTAACATTCTTCATCACTGTGAAGTCAGTTTGGGAAATCTCTTGCATTCAGTATAAACAACAACAAGATTTGGGTGTTCAACACCAATGTGAAATCAGTCTGTCAGTCAGTCAATTCTTCTCCATGGGTCAGAAACTTTGCTAGCGTGTCACGAAAAGCTTTTCCATCAGTCAACTGAAGACTTTTATCAACAGCTGCTCCTTTCACCGGCTCCACGTTGAAGATCAGGTGGCCAGTTAGCCAGCCGGTATGCCAGAAAGAATTAGCAACATAAACCATAGGAACGAATTAACCAAGAACCTATAGCTCAACAAATATGTAGGAAGAAATGGAGATGGATTGGACACATGTTGAAGAAACTGCCGAATGACACCGAGCGCCAGGCGGCACCTCGAGTGGGATCCGACTGAGGGATAACAAGTGGGTGGTCGGTGCGAGAGTGACATGGAGGATATCGTCTGAGGAGAAGAGCATGAGAGATAATGGGCTATCGTGGGCGCAGATAAAGAGGAACACTAATGAATTTTTGACTGACAAATATGCTGACTGAAAAACAGCGTCTGAAGCGACTTGTCGAGGATGGCCATTGTATCTTTTGTCGCTGACTAAAATCGTTTTTGTGTCCAACCTCATTGCAGTCCAGGCACCGGTATTACTTATACAGGAGAAGTTTTCATCAAATGCCAGGCATCACACAATACCAGAAAGGATGATGCAGGTGTCATCTTTGTGCGTCAATTGGTTTTGTGTGAGTAACTGGGATAATGGACATTTCAGCTAGGACCAGAGGTTGATGCAAGGATTTCGAAAGGTCTGGCGAAGAGTATTGATTTCAGAAACATCTTAGCATCCAGAATGGACACTACACTAATTGTTCGAGAATCCTTTTCCGTGATGTTATGAACTATGGACTCTAGACAAGTGATGATATGACTCAAAATCCCTTTTTTGTCTTCTTTTGTGTGCTACACAGAGGAGTGTGTCAACTTGAACTGTTTCACTTTTGTGTAGAGTTCTATGCTGAGACTCCATCAGTCAGTCAATCGGTCAGTCTGTCAATAAGATTACTACCGATTCCAATGGGAATTGCATAATTTATTACATAACAATCCTACTAAAGACATAAAAGTTACTGATTGAAAAAGCAACTAACCTCATCGGTTAAGAGTACAGGAATATCATTCTCCGCAATAAGGCATATTATCTTGATATGATCTTGACGACAAGACAGGATCGAGGCTATTCGACTGTGTAATTCATGTGTAGTCATTTCATACAGCATAACAGCATGATAAACTATATTCCATAAAAAAAGAGAAACAAAACAATGGATATATTTATATTATACATACACGAACCGACTATTCAACACGACCAGTGGAGATAAATCCGTCAATTGAACTAAATCGGCCATGATCAGATGAGACTCATTTTTGACGCGCAGGTTCGAACCCTTCTTTTGACATCACTTTTGTATGAATTGGTGGTTAAAAATGGTAGATAACTCACTAACCGAGTCACAAGTTATCCGAGTTCTCCAGCCCCTGCCGAGGCACTCGTAAAAACCCATCGCTTTGTAGGAAGTGGGCTGGATAAAAAGAGAAGGTTGTGAATGAGGCTAGCGATCCTACCACTGCTACTGAAACATATTACAGTATAAAACTTAATTGGAGATGGCATCAAAATTCTTCACAATGGTTAAATATTGTTATGTTCCGCAATTATTATGTTATTATTATTATTTTCTTTAATTCCTAGAGGAATATAGGGCTTCAGCCGTGCGTCTCCATTGCGTTCGGTTCTCTGCTAACGTTTTCACCTGGCTCCAAGTCTGCCCACATGCTTTCATCTCCTCTTCATTCTTGGACGACCAAATCGCCGCCTCCCTTTCGCGTTCCACTCGAAGGCTTGTCTAGTGATGTCACTTGATGGTTTCCTAAGAGTATGGCCAATCCATCTCCATTTCTTCCTGCTCATTTGTTCCTGCTAGGTTGATTCGTTCATAACCAGAGATCGCTGTTGCTGATCTTTTCTGGCCAGCCATCTGATCTTGATTAGTATTGAGCGAAGACAGCTGTTGATGAAGGTCTGTAGTTTCTTTGAGATGCTCTTTGTGACATGCGAAGTCTCTGACCCGCATAGTAAGTAGCACTGACTTCACATTGGAGTTGAAAATCCGGATCTTATTTTTCAAGCTGAGTGCTGTTGACCTCCACACAGACTTGAAAGTAGTGAAAGCTTGTCTTGCTTTCCCGATCCTCGCTTTGATATCCTCTTCAGTTCCGTCAGCCTGTATTTGAAACGAAGCTTCCCAGGTCGGTGGGTAAAGGAGGTTGCTTCTTTCAGGTTCCTCGCATTCATGCTGATTGTTGTCTGCTGTTGGCCAGGAATCTTCATCACCTCTGTTTTCTCTGTGTTCATCTGAAATCCTATCTTTCATGAATGCTTCTCTTCTGCCAACTTGTTGCTTTTCACTTGCATATCATCCAGTTTGTGGGAAATCAGACATATATCATCATTGGTGAAGTCCAGATCCTCCAAGTCTGTTTTTGTGTGAGTCCATTTTATGCCTGTTTCCTCATTGCCCGCTGTTTGTCGCATTATCCAATCTACTGCAATCAGGAAAATCATTGGAGATAGTAGGCAGCCAGTTTGTCTTACTCCCGTCTTCACTTCGAAGGATTCCATAAGTTCCCCTTTTGTGGATTACTTGACATGCAGCATTGTCGTACAACTGTTGGACGAGATGTATAATTGTCGCATGGCAAGATTATTTATATCCACAGATTCAGTGTTCCAAAGGCAAATAATTACAATAAGTTCCACAACTTCTTGTCAATAAACTCCACAAAAAGAGTTTTATGTATTTTATATATTCCGCAAACTGTATAGTTATTTCTGCTTTTAATTATTGTCATAATATTCTCACCAATAAGATTTGTGTAAACACTTCTCCCAAATATTATCATCAAGTTATCATTAGTATTCCATTGGGTTACTACTGGGAAAAAAGGTTTCAACAATACATCTTCAGTTCATCTCGCTTTCTGTAGTCCTCCTTTAGCCAGCCCTGCTATAGTTCATAAGGTTTTGTCTTTTCTTATCACGATCTCCTCCGTATCACTATGGTATCACAGCGAAACTCATCGTTTTGCCTTCTACTCGAGCAATAAATGACCTAGTGAGGAATGTTAACAGATGGTTTCCCCTCAGAGTGTCACCAATCCACCTCCATTTACTTCGGAATATTTGATGAGTGGTAGATTCGTGGATGCTCCCACTCCCAGAGATTCCGGTTCCTGATTCTTAGCAGCTGGTCATTTGATCTTCAATATGCAGCCAGTGAAGGCAGCTGTTGTTACTAGCCTGCAAGAGGCTGTTACAAATGCTTTCAATGACGCGCTTCTAGTCAAGTTTCTGACTCATATAAAAGAACTGATTGATGCTGACATTGGTGCTGAGAATCAGAATTTCGCAGTGACTTCTGATTGCAGACGATTTCCGCACTGATTCCAGAGTGATGAAGGTCGCCTTTTGCATGCCAAAGCTGGCTTTAATATCTTCATCCATGCTGTCACCTACAGTTGAACGGATGCTTCAAATTTATTCCCTTGATAGTAGTGATTAGTACTTGTTGTTGACTGGTTATCTTCATTACCTACCTCCACAGTCTTCTCTCTCTCTGTGTGTGTTGGCTAGAAATCCTTCTGCCAACTTGTCAGCAGTTTTCACCTCTAAGTCTTCTAGTTTTTGTGACATTTAAATATAAATCATTTGAGAAGTTTACATCTTCTAGAGTCTTCTTGTCGAACAAAGGTGGTACTCCAGTTTTCTCCACCTACCCCCCGCGCATACATACGGTGTTCTACACAATCCAGTGTCCCTCACAATTAGGAATATCATCTCTGGCAGTAATAATAAGCCGTATTGTTTTACTCTTCTCTTCACTTCCAAAGGATTCGCCGAGTTTTCTGTTGTGGATCATTTGACAAATAGCTGCTGAATGAGGTTGATAAAAATTTGTGGCACTGTACTCCATAGTGTTGAAATAGTTTCCAACTTACTTCGCGATGAATGCTGCCGAAGGTCTTTTCAAAGTAAGTGAAGTAAAAGCAGAGAATTGACTGCCAGTGTATATATACATATAGAAATAGTAATAGAAATAGTAAAACACGAAAACGTACTTATCTCTCCTTTGAGGCACATGTACAGTGTACATCGTGGAACAGTAGGTCTATCAAACGGAATATAAAAAGAAAATAATAATAATAACGAATCAACTTTCTTTTGTATACATAATCATGGATGCCTACACTAAGAACATTATCAGAAAACAGAACAGACTTGATTAGATTTGACCGCTTCTCCTCTTCTCAGCCTAAAAAGCTTCTATAGAGTTGGTTTGTAAGGATTAGTTTTGTTTTTACGAGTTGATCACGGATTATAATCAGTTAGAGAACTATTGAAAATCAGTATTGGAGTAATGGACAGCCAGCTGTTTCATCCCACTAGTTTGGGAATCATCGAAGTACGCACCCGCTACAGCAGGTTCGAACCCAGGACCTTCCGATTACAAGGCAAGTTCGTATGCCATTCAGCCACTGGGACCCGACCCGATTCAATGGCTCATGAATTCTAACTTCTACCAATATTGAATTCGATCTTAGCAAATTTCACACCATATTATGTAACATTTTATATTCGCCTACTAATCCTGTAATTATACACCCCTTTCCAAAATCTATACACCTTATGTATTATTCTGTATATGACATTAATTATTTTGCTACTTGACATTTAACTATGAATAGATAATCACAAATATTTTAATTGCGTTTCATACTACTACTATTTTTATTTCATGTATTCGCACCTTTGACCTAATTCCCTCACCGAATATAATTTCTTAAAAACCATATATATATGTATACGATTGTACAGCTTCGTAATAAATTCGCTGAATATTGTATTCTCAACATATTCAATTATAGAGCACTCCTTATTGACCCACTGTTACCTTTTTGTACCGAAGCGGGATAATGCTCTTTGACTCTTTTAGATACAAAACAAAAACTAGGCATCGAATGACCTACATATCATCTCACGCTCCTCTCTGTCTGAATGGATATTTTTTGTGAATTAAAAAAGAAAAGATTGCACACTACGATATATATCAGAGCTTAGGCAAGCACTCCATGAGGTGTAAACACATTTAATAGTTAAAAGGGTCAATAAACTCACTTATTGTATAGTGAATTATACAACCGTAAACCCTCCAATGATCCACATATTGACAATAAATCTTCTTTTGCTAGGCGAAGCATATCACGACCTAAAGGGAATCGGAGAAGAAACTGAGTTAGAGAAGTATAACGACAACAAAAATACCACCACAAGGGATTGCACATCCCTCTGAGTTTGTGACTTATGGTTGTGTTGATGGAACAGACTAAGAGGGTGAGGTGACGCACCCTGGGAAATCAATACAGGCCAATAAATACAGTCCCTTCAGCGGATGAATCACTATGGCTAACAAATTAACGTCAATCCTTGGGAGCATAATTATAACTTTTCTTTGTAAACTGAGCATCCAGTTACAGTGAATCAAAATTTGGAAATTCAAGATAAGATTTCTCTGAATGATTTCTTGAGTAAGCTAAAGCTTCTTCAGCAGAATTCAGTTGAATAAGAACAACAGTGCTCTATTTATGGAGTTGACATTACATTTAGACAAGTCTAGCATTAAGTTAAGTAAGAGGAAGAAGGAAGGCGGTTCCTCGTGTGTCAAGTTGGCTTATTTCAGCTCCATGGACTACAATAAAAATTGAAATAAATTGAGGTTCGCACGTCAAAACATAATTTCAATGTGAACAAATTTTCCAGAAGAAGTGACACGCTTATATGTATATTACTAAAATATGTAATACATATAACTTATTACTGCGTGAAACAATTGGTTTAAAAATAGATTTTCGACAGACCGCAAAATGATCTTCCAAAAGCCAATATGTCTGTCTATTTTTAAACATAAAACTTCGGTGTGAAGTTGGCTCCGAGTGAACATACGACTCTTCCATGTCACTCTAGCACCACCCCCAACCTGTCGTTTGCCATTCAGGTTGCACTCGACCGACGGCCTGACGCGTGATGTTCATCAGTGATCTCTTAGACGTGTGTCCGATCCATCACCATTTTCTTCGCTATATTTGATGGGCTATAGGTTCTTGATTGGCTCGTCCTGAGAGTTTCTTGTTTCTTCCTCGATAGGCAATGTTAGCTAACTTTCGGATCAGGTGGGAAAAAAGCCGCTGGTGGTCCAACCAAAACATGGCTTGATCAAGCAATGAAATCCACAACAGTTAGTTTAAGCCAGCCACGTAGGAAGGTGTAGACTTCCTGGTTGGGGTCCTCGGGACGGTAAACACCAATGGAGGCTGGATACAATTGGTGATTTGGCTTATAATCATTCTCAATGGCTGGCGCAGATGCATCTACTCCTTGTGACTTATAATTTCCAATGAAACTATATTGTTCTTCAATTTTACTATTCTTTTTTGTTTCATAACAACAACAACAAAATACCACCACAAAGGGTTGTACATCTCTCTGAATTTGTGACTTTTGATTACTATTAGATTGATTGTTTGATGGAACAGACAAATGGGGCTGAGGTAAAGCGCTCTGGAAAATCAATACAGGCCAAGAAATACAGTCTTTCAACAGATGATTCACTATGGCAAACAATTTAAAGTCAATCCTTAGGCAGGCATAATGATAACTTTTCTTTCTAAACTGAGCATCGAGTCACATTGAATCAAAACTTATACATTCAAGATAAGATTTTTCCTGAATGATTTTCTGAGTATGCCAGAACTTCTTCAGCAGAATTCAGTTGAATAAGAACAACAATACTCTATTTATTTATGGAGTTGACGTTACATTTAGACAAGTTCAGTATTTAGTTATGTAAGAGAAATAAGGTGGTTCCTCCTGTGTCAGGTTTACTTACGTCAGTTCTATTAACTACTGTAAAAAAAAATAAAATGAGCTTTCGCATATCAGAACATAAACGAAAATTGGACAAATTTCCCAGAAGAAGTGACAAGCCTCTTTGTATAAGTTATATATATATTGATGTGGTTGTGTTTTCTGAGCTGGATAGGTAATTTGAGGAGCTTTCATCGCCCTACTAGGCGACATCTTCAGCGCATACTTCAATTTGATTTGAAGTGAGCTTTTAGATTTCTCCACGAGTTTATTAGTCACCTCTCCTGGTGAGTGACCCTGAACGTGACTCTTTGGTTGTCTTTGTGTGTTTATACACCCTCTAGGCTACTTGTATTGGAATTAACTGTTTCTTTGACTTGAACTTTGACCCTTTGTGTGTGAGGTATCTTTCTTATCGGTTGATAAATTTTGTCTATCGATGTGTCTATTGCTTGATGATTCACTGGAATACCAGACAGCCTTCTAAAAATTCTCTAGCATTCTTTTTGTTTCCTCTATCTAATATTTGAATGTTATCCCAGTCGAAGTAATGTCCATGGTTGTCTGTATGCAGCGATATGAGGGAGTGGATGTCATGTCTTTTGACGGCTAGCTTATGTTCATGGATACGAAGACGAAGGGGGCGTCCACTTTGGCCAATGTAGTGTTTTTCACAGACAACCGCAGACATCAATTCGACTGGGACAACCAACGTTCAAATATTAGACAGAGGAAACAACAAGAATGCTAGAGAATTTTTAGAAGCTTGGCATTCCAGTGAATAGTCAATAAATAGACACATCGAGATAGACAAAATTTATCAACCAATAAGAAAGACACCTCACATACAAAGGATCAAAGTTGTGTGAAAGCACACAAAAACAACCAACCACGTCCGAGGTCACTTAAAGAGATGGTTAGTAAACTCATGGAGAAATCTAAAAGCTCACTTCAAATTGAAATATGTGCTGAAGATGTCGCCTAGTAGGGCGATGAAAGCTTCGCAAATTAACTATCCAGCTCAGAGAACACAACCACATCAAAATCATCCACCTGAGCTACAAATTTTCTGTATCCTATATATATATATATATACATATACATATATATATATATATATATATATATATAATACCTATGACTTAATTGTGCGTGAAACAATTGGTTAAAAGTAGTTTTTCGACAGATTGCAAAATGATCTTTCAAAAGCCAATATGAAGTAGTTAGGGTCCTTTCGAGTGTTACTGTGAAGAATTCATTACTGTTATTATTTATTATTGTCCCATTAAGCTCTGGAAAATAGGGTTCTTCCATGTCACCCATGACCTATGCCCAACTTTTCGTTTGTCATTCTGGTTCCATTCGACTGACGGCGAAGCGCGTGATGTCCACCGATGATCTCTTCAACGTGTTTCCGATGTATCTTCACTTTCCTCGCTATATTTGTTGGGCTATGGCTTCTTGATTGGTTTGTTCTCAGAGTTTCTTGTTTCTTCGTCCACACGCAATGTTAGCTGAAATAGGTTGGATCAGGTTGGAAAGGAGTTACCTAGTGGTGGTCAAACTAAACCACGGTTTCATCAGTCAGTGAAATCCACAGCAGTTAATTTGAGCCACGTAAGGAGATACAAACTTCCTGGTCAGGGTCCTCGTGATGGTGAAAACCAATGAAGGCTAGCGACAATTGGTAATATGGCTCAAAATAGCTCTCAATGGCGCAGATCCATTAACTCCTTGTGACTTTTAATATCCAACAAAACTATATTGTTCTTCCATATTACTATTCTTTTTGTTTCATATATCTGTCTATAATCTCTCTTTGGAATCTCTTTTTACTCAGTCTTATGTTCCCAAAGGAGGGAGTTTGGCAACTGGAACATCGCCCATTGTCGAGGAAGGCGATGCCTAGGCTGGCCATGCGTTACACATGTCTTAACCATCTCAGTCGATGTAGCTTCACAGCCTCATCTATTGATTTTCCCTCCTTACCTAGCACTCGCCCGAAGCCTAACCTCAATATTACTCACCTTATCATACCACTTCACAAGGGAGATAGAACGCAGGCATTTATGATCAAAGACAGCTAGCCTAGCTTTTCATGTCATTCACTCTAAATGGCCAGGTCTCACAGCTATAAAAGAGGACGGAGCGGTCGGCACACTCCCTTTCCTTGCTGAGCCAGTAGTATGACTGGTAAAGAGGGAAGGTTGGGCATGAGGCTAGCTAGCTACAGAAACTTCAAGCCTCTAGTTTGAAGCCCTATGTTCCACTGGGAACATAAAGGAATAAAAGAAAATCCCTAGATAACTGAAGGAAGTAATCTCTTCAGAATTCATTCCATTGATTGGTTGCTTGCTGTGACTGACTAGTTATCTTCATCACCTCTATCTTCTTTAGTATTCACTAGAAGTCTTGTCTTCACTACCCAACTCTTCTGCCGACTTGTTGGCTTTTGTCTATAAGTGTTCAAGTTTATGTGACATTAAACATAAATCGTACACAAAGTCCATATCTTCTTGAGATTCTTTATCGGTCCAACAAAGACTAACTCAACAACCAATCACAGGAGACTTAGCGTGGGCGGATACGATTCGCAGACATATGGTCTGACCTTAAAAGAAAGATTAACTTCCAGCGAGAAAACAACCAATCAGAAGACGATGTTTCTCTGCTAATAATAACTAATAATAATGTACATAAAAATATATAAATATCTCTTGATTTCCTCAATAAACGATCTATTGCCTGGCCTTTGCCTTCTATCGTTACAGGAATATCATCATTAGTAGTATTTTGACAGCCCTGTCTAACTCCTGTCTTCACTTCAAGGGCTTTGGTCACATTTTCGTTGTGGATCACTCGATATGTGGCTGCTGAATGAGGTTGATAAAGACTTGGGACACTCTGTAGTGTTGAAGCATACGAAATAAGAGTCCGTATAATGCAGTAGCGTCAAACATAAAGAAACACTCAGTAGTAGAACAAAAACACAAAAAAATAAAACCAAACTAAGATCACATACCTGTAAAATTTTTAAATGTTTCCACAAGATTTTCAAAATTTGACTGACATAGCCAATCGGTAATTTGTACAGCAGTCATATCACAGTGTACTACCGATAGCATATAACTATTACTATTATTATTATTATTACTAGTATTGCTACTACTACTTCTACAACTCATTGTATTATCTGTTGAACATACTCCCGATGAAGATGACTCATTCAATATACCAGCTGTTGATGCTGTCCTCACTCCTTCTTCTCCGTGTCGTTGTTGATGATGGTCATTTGATGTCAAGGAGATAATCGATCCACGATGTGACGTATCTGCATGATCAAGCATAGAATTTGATTTAATCAAGCATAACTCTGCATATCTCAATGATTCATCTTCACCACCAGCGACAGCAACAGTAGCAGCAGCATTGCCAACATTCGTACCACCAGCATCTCTAGTCGAAGCAGCATCAGCATCCGCATCAGCGCTATCATTATCCCCATCAACAACAGGATGATTATCATTATCCTCAGGACAATATCTAATCTCTTCTAAAACTCCATCAGTGGTTAACGATGCTTCATCTGATGATGCATGCAACTCATTACTACAATAGCCTGTAGTAGTAGCAGGAGTAGCAGTATTACTATGAGTAGTATCACAACTAGCCGGTGTAGCACTAGACATGCCTAGCAGAGGATCACCATCTGTTTGAATTGAATTTATCGGATAATCTGACACGATAATCGATGGTGAACTAGACTTATCGTCATATTTGTCGATAATTGTCCATTTACTGAATTCCTCATTGCCGAGACTAGAGGATTCACCAGATGTGCTTAGATTGCATACGACTACTTTTGAAGTATTCATGCCGACCTTTGAGTTACTTGAATGGAAAGGAATTTTCACATGAATTACTTTCGACTATGAAAAGGGAAAGGAAAAGAAAAATAGGCCTAATAATATAACCAGAATCAAATGAAAAACTGAAACACATCTAATGACCTTGAAACAATCATCAACCAATCAAACATTTTTAGTGTCCCGCTGACCTAGACGACCTTCAATGTGTTCATATGATGTGTCCTTCCTGAATAGAATAGTCCGTTACTAAGTCTCTTTCTTTTCTTCTCACGTTACATTTGATGTCGCTGCTTTTGGAAGACATACGAAGCCTCTTGTAAGACTCTGAGGGAATTGCAAGCAACGGCCTAAAAGTCCCACAAGTAGCTCCTTATGTCTCGTTCTTCGAAAGTAATAGGTCACGGGATTTTCATTATCCTCTGGTGAAGCTGGCCCCAAACGAGCGAAACGGACGTCCGGTGTGTTCAGATCATCTCGATTTGGCTAGCTAGCAAGCACTACTGGTTGATTGGTTTGAGTAGTATACAACTACTCATCTCAATTACTCAGTAGTATAAATTTTTATACAAAATATTTGAAAGATAGATGAAGGTTTAAAAAATATTTATTTAAGCTACTTTATACTTCCAATTTTTTTATTGATCCTATCGGAATGACGAGCCCAGGTCGTGTTGACATGTCACACTCCTTGTACGGATGCATCGACGGTGCGATTAATGGCCTCAAAGCTTTATGTACACCTATGGAAGTATGTGGACGGTTACTACTTCCTAGCTGTCGACAGCGTGGAAGAAGCTGACTTCATCTTGGGGTACTTGGAACAGAATGCGTTTTATTGCTGCATAACCGCAGAGCCTAGTGGACAACTGACTGAGGCCGGCAACACACAACGTGTTTGGTCTTACTGCAGGTTACGGACCGCTGCAAAACAAGTCGGGATGTACAGTTTTCAAGTAGACGTTTTCTAACCATCCATCTCTCTTCAGAACAGAAACGAAGCATAACTTGCATAGTGATTACCTGAGAGAAACATCTTCTTATTGTAAAGTCCTTATTTCTTTTAACAGTACGACTCCGTCCACAGACCCCCCCCCCGAACGCAGTGTGTAAATAACTTATACTATGCCGGTAACCGCTTTTAGTTGAACCGCTATTCAAACAACCTTTCTGGCATAGTAGGACCTAAAGTCAGTGTAACTCGTTAGGTCATCGTGACATACACGCCCGACCACCATGCCAAGAAAGCAACTATCGGTCGACAAGGGTTGGTGGAGGCAGTAGCAGTGGAAGCACCACTACAGACATCATCACCTTCTGGGGGATTGGTAACGAAATGTTTGCTTGCAATTTGATATCTCTGCATAGGGAAATTATCATTTGCACAGATCTTCCCTGTTGTGCTACCTACTTCTGCCATTCCTTCGTATTGTCTTTTTTTGTCTTCTTTTCGTGTCTACCGTGTTTTACCGCAACACTGGTCCATTAGCTTTCTTAGACGTTAAATCTATGCCTCCGCTATTTGATATCTTTGTGCTGATGACCATCTCTATATATTCACTACGGATGCATCTTGTCTGTCTGTCTGTTTCCAACGTAGAACTTTGCACCGATGTGCATTAGGTTCAAGTCGACACACTCCACTCCTTGTACCACACAAAGCAAGAGAAGAAAGTAGAAGAAATACAAAATAGAGACAGCAAACAGAGATATGAAACAAAAGGAATAGTAATAACGAAGAACAATAAAGTTTCATTGGAAATTATAAGTCACAAGGAGTAGATACATCTGCGCCAGACATTGAGAACGATTTTCAGCCATATCACCAGTTGTCTTCAACCATTAGTTTTTACTGTCCCGAGGACCTCAACCAGTCAGGAAGTCTACACCTTCCTACATGACTGGCTTAAACTAACTGTTGTGGATTTCATTGACTGGTGAAGCCATGTTTTGGTTTTACCGCCTCTAGCTCTTTTCCAGCCTGACCCTATATCAGCTTACATTGCCCGTCGACGAAGGAGATGACTAGGCATACGTAACACATGTCCTAACCATCTCAGTCGGTGTAGCTTCACAGCCTCGTCGATTGATTTCCCCTCCTTACCTAGCATTCAACGTCTGACCTCAATATTGCTCACCCTATTATACCACTTCACACAGGAGATAGAACGCAGGCACCTGTGGTCAGAGACAGTCAGTCTTTTTCATGTCTTCCACTCTCAATGGCCAGGTCTCACAGCCATAAAAGAGGACGGAATGGACTGCTGAGAAGTACACTCACTCTTTGGTCGATAGCCAGCCGGATATCACGTCTACGCCAGAGACGGCGTAAACTGGCATATGCGAAACTAGCCCTCTGTATCCGTGCTGAGATTTCGTCAGAGATCAACCCGTTGGCGCTGGCTGATGGTACTTCCGGAATAAGTGAAGCGGTCAACGTGCTCTACCACTTCACTCCCTATTTCTAAACTAGGAGTCAGTGTAGTTCAGTCAGTCCTGTAACATCATCTTACATTTGGCGGGAGCGAATCGCATTCGTAGATTGTAGCTCAAGGTGTTCAGAAGACTCTGCTGTATTTTGTCAGCGTCCTCGCCTAGAAGGACTGTATGAATCTTGTCAGTAATACACGTCATAGGTAAGTAGTGTTGCCTTGTATTTTACAAATATTAACTAAAGTTCAAATAGACTTAAAACATTTATGATTAATTTATTAAACTGTGATCCCTATCAGTGAGTGAATGAACCTCACAATAGGCTGAACATATAGTATGAGACTTCTAGACAAAATGAAGTCGAATCAGTAGGCCATTTCGCTAAACAGTTCAAGACACGATCCAAATTTTAGGTGTATAATGTATGTATAATCAGTTAAATTTATGAATCTACTCATTATCACGTTATAGCAACAACAAAAAAAGTCATACCTTTTGTGCTTCAGGCAAATGGCCACTAGCCGCTTCACAACCATGTACAGCTCTTCGTCGTTCAGAAATAAGCGTTGCTTGTTTCACCCGATTCACAGAATTATCCCAGTTTGTAGACATTATTCTATTCTTATTACTTCGTACCCATCGTGAAGCACTTCGACAACTACGTCCACATGATGAACAAGCTCCAACACAACAATCGCCTACTCGGGGACGTCTACGTCTTTGGAGACCAGGTTGTGTAGAAGGCCCTGTTAAATGTCTATTGGACAATGGAGATGGTGACATACCAGGAGATAAATTACGTAGTGTTGGATATGCTGTACCCTGTTGATAAGGATATGTCGGTGTAACAAATTCAGAGAATGTTTGAATGTTTGATGTCGGTGTTTCTACGGAATCGGGTAATGTGACGAAATGGTCAGTTGCATTATCAACATCTTTTAGTGAAAAGTTGTCCTTTATAATCAGCTTCTTTGACATTGAACTATAAACATTATTAAGAAAAAAAAGCGAAAAACAGTCAAAAATGGTAAGAATAGAAGAAGAGATTGCAGGAAAATTGATGCACAGATAGTTAGCTTGAACCCCCCCCCCTCCCGTCTTTGAGTCATATGAAAAAGAGAAGACATTCAGCAAGGAGACTCGTTTCGGCGAATTCATTCACATAGCTGTACAATCGCATTTATATACAATTATTTTGTGTGTGTGTGTTTACATGAGGTTGGTCAAATTTAGATTAATTAATTAATCGGGTAATACAAGAATGACCTAATATAGAAACAAGGTTAATTAGACAGTAAATAAAGTAAGATTGAGTTAGTAAGTTAGATGACGTGGTTCTCCAACTCATGCCAGCATATGATGAAATACTCCATCCAATCAAACAAAATTTCTACAAAACCAATACTTGAAAAATTAACCTAATGCTCACTAGCGACCAGCCAGTCACCTGGGGTTCTAGTGGGAGGCTGTGACCAGTAGGGTACAACAGCAAGTTGAAGATGAGGCAGTAACTCTTCGAAGAAGATATTGCGGAATGGTCGCGCTATGTCATGAATTGGAAGAAGTTGGAACTCATACACTGGCCAGTGGATCGGGTCCCAGTGGCTCAATGATCTACGAGCTCGCCTTGTAACCAGAAAGTCCTGGGTTCGAACCCCGGTGAGTGCGTTCTTCAGGAGAGTCCCAAACAAGGACGAAACAGCTGTCCAGTACTCCACCCAATCAAACAAAATCCCTACAAAACCAATACGTAATATAATTGACTAAAATGTTTCAACTTAAGTCAGGATAACAACAGAGGTAATTACAGGTAGACACCAAGTAGAGGTGAGGTAGAGAATAATGCTATTTAAATTAGGACTAAAATTGAGAAAAATAAATTGCATGACGTAAGATAAATGACTAGAAATTGAGTGTTGGTCAAGTCAGTAACAGTTGTAATGAAGTGTAGAAATTAAATCGGGTGAGAACAGGAAAGTTGAAAATGTAAAATATTACAATGGAAATGACAAAATAATACTAATGAAGAGACAGAAAGAAATAGAATTTACCTGTCGGGTAATCAGATAGATTATGTTCATTACAAGTGCAGTGAGTGAACGAACTTCTTCTGTCTGCAGAGCTCAGGGTTTAGCAAGTGAATTGCTATTGCTTCTGCAGTTTCAAGAAGTCTGACTCGTACACTTTTAGAAAGACTGCTTCGTATTTTGTAGACAACTTTGAAGTTTGTTTGGGGGCTGTAGCTCGGTGTCCGGAATCTACCATATGTGCTAAGATAGAGCTAAGGGGGCATTGATTTTCTTCTTTGTTAAAACCATGCTGGTAATTGTTCGGTGATACACAGATAATTGTTAATATTGCATCTTTAAATTTCACCATCTTCTAAAAAATAACTAGCCAGAACTTATCCTGCGGCAAAGTTGGTTCCCGTTTATCGACACCCTTCCTAAGTTAACTCTACTTGTGCATGCAAGTTTACATGTATCTGTGGTAGCAGTTACTTTGGGAGAACAGAGACAATGGGCATATTTCCGATTCTCTGAACATGTACTAAAAAGTTTACATGTCAATGTGAAAGAAAAGCTCTGAACAGTGAGTGCTATAGCCAGACATCTTGTTGATTCGGGGTGTACGACGTGAACACAGTGGTATCCTTAAAGGTTATTAATAGACAATATTACTCAACTGTCCTCAAATTTGCCGAAGCACTCGCTATCAAACGTTCACTTATAAGTCCTTCCTTGTCATTGTAACTCAGCGTCTTATCTCTTCCTCTCATTTGATTATGCAATCTTTTGCTTCAACCTTCCCCTCCCCACTTGCCCAGTTTTTGCTTTGACTGAATTTAGTTTTGCTCCTTTTTGTTTCTATGACTCAAGTTGAACCAACCACACTATTACGCAACTGATTAGCTGCTCATCATTATCATCAACTTCTCACCTTTTGTCTTGATTGGGCAACTCGATTTTTCAACATATATCTAACCATTAATTTTTGTATGTTTGTATATTGTTCGAACTTTGAACTCTTTGCATAAGGAATAATAAAAGGACAGTTGCAGCGAAGAAAATTTTCTTTTCGACGAAGTCATCAACTAGATAGTTGTACATTCGTGTATTTATAACAAATGGGAAGGAAAGTTCCAGAATGATATCCGGTGAAGGGTCAAAGTGATAAAATTACCATTAGGAATTAAAATGACATAATAAACAGGGGGAGGGCGACGGATAAAACCCAAACAAAGTAGCATCATAATTACTGATAAGATAGTCGCATTGTGAAATTGGGGGTTAGAAATGTAGAAATAACAAAAATAGACAGGATGTTTGAATAAAAATATCTAGTGGGATCATAACTAATGTGACGAATAATTGTTTATGCAATCAGGGATTAAATATGTAGAAATAATAAAATGACAAAATAGACAGGAAGTTCGGATATGAAAATATGGTAGTGTAAATAGGGATTAAGAAAACTTAAAAATAACATGAACAAACATGAAGTTTAGGTAAGAAAGGCAATGGGATAGTCACTATTAAAAGAATTATCTGTTTATCATGGCCATGGCAGGGACAGTGGTTGAACGTATTTCTTTTGAATACATAGTGTGGGTTTGAGCTTTTGGATGGCTAGTGCCTCGGCTATGCCCAGATGTCTTAATTTTACTCCCTTTGATAGGTTTGATCGAATCTTGTATATTATTTTGAAGGATTTTTCGAATGGCACTGAATGTCCTGAATTGGTCAGATGTTCTGTCACTGAACTCTTTGCATAAGTTATGTAGGTGTAAAGTCTGAACACTGTTTATTAATTTTGTGTCTCTACTAACCAAAACTCATCTAAACCTTAGAAGTATGCTAAAGTTGCCCTGTACATACACAATAATTATCCTTTAAATTGTTGATATTATAGATGGCTGGAGGCAATCAACAGGAAGTCTTGCTTCACCTAGGTATCGTGCTAGTTGGCACTAACCAGTCAGTCATGACAAGACGTATCTGCAGCCACCTTTAAGGAACTCATCTCCCTTCTGAGATTAAAAACTGCGTCATCCAACCTTGAAGCACGGTGGTCACATTGCAAACTTGACTGATAGAAATCAGTCTGCACCAAACAAAGGACTAAACACACACTACACTAGTTACTAACTAGTGTCCGATCAAAGTATGCAACACAGTCCTACAGGAGGTCGATCGTGAGCCCGAATAACTCAGGGATAGTGACGTCTCAGACTGCAGCACTGACTAGTGATGCGCGTTCGAATCTCAGATGGGACGTGAGTTCCTTCAAGGTGGTTGCAGATACGCCTTGCCATGACTGACTGGTGAGTGCCAACTAGCACAAAATCTAGGTCCAAGGCTTCCTGTCGATTGCCTCCAACAATCCAATATCCACAATTCACAGTGCACGGTGACAGCGGACCACCTAGTGGCATGGTGGCCACATTACAAACTTGACTGAAAGAATTCAGTCTACACCAAACAAAGGACTAGACATATTACAATAGTTGCTAACTAGTGTCCCATCAAAACAATATTCAACTTTTAGATTGTATGCAGCGGTAGAGAAAGCAACGAACACAAACGTTTGTTCTTGTTTTATTTAGATTCAAAAAGGGGAATAAGTGTGTTATGAAGTAACATCAAAAGTCTTTGAAAATGAATCGGTCATCTCATAGCATCACCTTGCAGTTAGCACACACATGTTGAGTACATGAAACGACAAAAAATGATGAGGTAGGGGTAGTTGTGTTCAGTATAACTAAATATGTTATAATAGTTGCATTTGAAAAACTGTCCATCTGTCTGTTTTCAACGTAGAACTTTGCACCGATGTGCAGCAGTTCAAGTTGCACACAAAACAAAAGAAAGTAGAAGAAATACAAAATAGAGACAGCAAACAGAGATATGAAACAAAAGGATTAGTAATAACGAAGAGCAATATAGTTTCATTGGAAATCATAAGTCACAAGGAGTAGATACATCTGCGCCAGACATTGAGAACGATTTTCAGCCATATCACCAGTTGTCTTCAACCATTAGTTTTTACTGTCCCGAGGACCTCAACCAGTCAGGAAGTCTACACCTTCCTACATGGCTGGCTTAAACTAACTGTTGTGGATTTCATTGACTGGTCAAGCCATGTTTTGATTTAACCGCCGCTGGCGCTTTTCCAGCCTGACCCCATATCAGCTTACATTGCCCGTCGACGAAGGAGATGACTAGGCATGCGTAACACATGTCCTTACCATCTCAGTCGATGTAGCTTCACAGCCTCGTCGATTGATTTCCCCTCCTTACCTAGCACTCGATCGATGCCTACCATCAATATTGTTCACCCTATTATACCACTTAACACGGAAGACGGCTAGCCAGGTTTTTCATATCCTCCACTAATTTGAAAAACACATTCTGTTTACAAAACATGCTATTCAAAAATCTCTTTTAGTCATTCAAATATGATAGTGAGCGTCATTTCATAACATTTTCAAAAAACCTCACTGGTAATGTCTCTAATTAGGGAACAAACTGATGCAGTTTTGAAAGCTGCCGAATACTAACAAGAACGATGGTTCGTTGAATAGGTTTATTCAATGTTCAACTAATACTAGTGCAGTGTCCAGCATTTACAAGTTATTTCTCTGATAACTTATTTCTTTTTTATATTATTACGGTTATTGTTCCCTTGGGTCCCCAGTGGAACATAGTGAAAATCGTCTTTAGACAAACAAAAATTCCATTTCTAGATATCGTAATCAAGAGAAGTAACACAAATACACACACACACACACAACACAGGAAATTTAGAAACACAAGCATGTAGACCAAATACTCATCTAAAAACAGCAATAATTCCATTGAGGATAAAATTTATTTTGATAAAGTCTCACACAGTGTTTTGTTATACAGTAATATTTAACCATGACGACGTTTCGAGTACAATTTTTTACTGCTCATAATCATATCAAGGCAATACTCACAC